GAGCTCGCGAAGCGGGGGAGGACGCGGGAAAGCACGCGCCCGTGAGGACGCGGGGAAGTACGCGGGAAAGACGTGGGGGAGGACGCGGGGGAGGACGCGGGAAAGCACGCGCACGGTTCATCGCGGGGGGTTTGTTTCCTCCCAGTCTCAAAGGAAGAGTGCAGGTTCCGCCGGGGACTGGCCCCCCCCAGAAGAATGGCCGAGGCCCTCCCGAAACCTCTTCGAGGCCATGCGAGACGCCTTCCAGACTCCTCGCGGGAGGGTTTTCGGAGGCTTTCGGGAGGTTTTCAACCATCTTGGAGACGCACTGGTCCCTAGCAGAATCTGAGCGAGGCAAAGGAAAACGGGGGTCGCGCCGACACTGGCGCGTGAGCTGCCCGCGTGAGGTCGCGCGCCAGCGCCTCTGCCTCCCATGCAGCGTGCCGCGCTCGCGGCCCGCGTAAGCCGCCGAGTGAGATGGCTGAGTCACCTCGCGTTGAACCCGTTTCTGATCATCGCCCACCTGGGCTTTCGAAGTCTCGTCGCCCAGGACCCGCTCTTCGGCGCTGCGGGCCGTGGATCGACGGCCAGAGGAGGACCCCGCCGCGGGCGCCCCGAGGCCCAGGGACCCGTGGGAGGCCGTCCACCCGCGGCTGGCTCCCTGACGCTCCAGAGAGCCAGCACCGGGGCCCGGCCCGAGCCCGAGCCCGAGCCCCAGCGGCAGCCCGAGCCCGAGCCCGAACCCGAGCCCGAGCCCGAGCCACAGCCCGAGCCAGGGCCCCAGTTCGAGCGCCGGCCCGAGCCGGAGCCCGGGCGCCGGCCCGAGCCCGAGCCCGAGCCCGAGCGGCAGCCCGAGCCCGAGCCCGAGCGCCTGCCCGAGCCCGAGCCCGAGCGGCAGCCCGAGCCCGAGCCGCAGCCCGAGCCCCAGCTCGAGCCAGAGCGGGAGCCCGAGCCCCAGCCCGAGCCAGGGCCCCAGCCCGAGTCTCTCGCCAGCAAGCGGGCGCCAGCCAGAGCCCAGATCTCCGTCGATGTGGTTCTTTCAGCCTGGGCTTCTGCCGCCGATTTCGGCCCCTGGGGGGACTGTTCTTGGGCCGCAGCGCTGTGAAAAGTGGACCTGGGACGACAATATCAGCCAGCGTTGACTCCAAATGATGGTGATGCTGTCGATGAGGACGATGGCGATGAGGACGATCCTGTTTTCCACACGCGCAATAGCCATAGGAATGGGGGGGCATAGGAATTTGGAGGGGCAACGGACCAATTAGTAGGGTTTGAGCTAGGACTCCTCTAGGGCAAGCCGATTTGGAGAACCTACCCCTGGGGCCGAGACCTCTGGGGCCGCGCATGGAGAAGATCATGCCGCTGGACGTCTGCGAAGCTCGAGGGGAGTCCAGCCGCAGCGACGAGGGTGCCCAGGGGGAGGCCCAGAAAGAGAGAGAGAGAGAGCCCCCAAGGAGAGCTCCGAGCCCTCGGTCCTGGAGCCCTGGGCCCCGACCCCTCGACCCAGACACCCGACGTCGTGATTTTTTGATTGCTCGAGTGTAGGATCGACTACAGGATCGATTTACCCCAAAATTGATGTCCCGTCGATCTCTACGAAAAACACTTGCAGTGTTCTGTAGATCTATTGACTTTTCCACGTCTATTTCTCATCGGTTCGACGAGAAAATCAATTTTGGGGTAAGTCAATTCTGTAGTCGATCCCCCACTCGAATTGCATCGACCCCCCGATGTCTCGACCCCTTCCCCCTGACCAGGTTTTCTCCGCCCGCGCGGCCTTTTGGCAGTCCCGAGGCAAGGGCCGCCGGAGGCCGAAAAACCAGCGAAACCTTCTGGTCGCACTTTTCTCCTGAGACTCGAGGGGGTCCGGGTGTGCCCCGACCCCTCGAGTGCGGGTGTGCGCTCTACCCCGCGCCCCCGCGAGCGGGCCCCTGTCCCGGCTCATCTCGGCTGCGCGGAAGAGTGACCCTTCGCCAGAGTTGCTTCTGGTGCGGGCCCACAGGGATCCCACCAGCAAGGACTGGCGAGCTCGTCGGCGGCGAGCGAGAGGGGGGAGGACGAGCGAGGTGCGCTCGCGTCATATATGACGTCCTGCCCCTCCCTCCCATCCCTCACCATGGCGCAGATCTCCTCCCTATTCGCATAATCGGATGTCCTAGCATGCCATAGCATTACATTGCATAGCATGGTGTTGAAGATTAACGCGTAGCAAAATGAGGGGGGGAGGGCTTCTGCGGCACAACAAATCAAACACATCGGCACCGAATGTGTAATCACTTCCGATGGTTTCTTCGGGAGGCCATTTTTTGAGGCCTATTTGGAAGGACCGAAAACCATGCCGTGGCATGGCGCTGGAAATAATGACGCCAGCGCTGCAGCGGGAGCACGATTCGGAACGAGCCGAAGCGCGGAAATGAGGCCAGCGCTGAAGCGTGAGCACGATTCAGAACGAGCGGTAGCCCGAAAATGAGACCAGCGCTTCAGCGAGAGCAGCATTATGAACAAAAACCAAGGGCGGAAGCGCGGAAATGAGGACGCGTAGCCTGACACAGCATGGCGCGGCGACGCCCCAAAGTTTTGGGCTTCTGCGGCGCAACAAACTACGAATCGACACCGAATGTGTAATCACTTCCGCTGTTTTTTTCGGGGTGGCATTTTCTAGATTTGGGAGTCTATTTGGAAGGATTGAAAACCATGCCGTGGCATGGTGCTGGTAATAACGACGCCAGCGCTGCAGCGGGAGCACGATTCGGAATGAGCGGAAGCGCGGAAATGAGGCCAGCGCTGCAGCGTGAGCATGATTCGGAACGAGCGGTAGCCTGAAAATGAGGCTAGGGCTTCAGCGAGAGCAGCATTTTGAAACATGTGCCTGACGAAGGACTCAACCATATGCAGGTGTGAGTACCGCAAGTGTGATTCACTTTTTCGGTGGTGATCCCTATGAGGCAACGAACCGTGCTAGGGGTGTGCCGAAATGAGTGGCGTGGTACACAACGCGAACGAAAACGATTGATCCGAGTACGCGGGGAGACTGAGCGCGGGTGAATCTGAGCGCGAGTGCGTCTGATTGTGAATGAATCAGCGTGCGAGCGAGTCTACGTGCATGAATGCGAACATGATAAAGCAGGGCTTTATTTGTATATGAATCTCAATAGTTTGAGAATGACTGTCTCTGAGTACTCGTGATGCTGGGCGTGGCCGCTGCAAGGAGGTTCCCCGGGACTCCCCGACGGCATCGCCCGCGCGCCGCGACGCCAATGTCGGCGCGCCCCCCCGCGAGGATCGCGCCCGCTTCCTCCCCTTCTTTTGCTCCCTCTTTGCCCGCGCACTCAAAAGTCCCAGGGTGCGGGCGCAGCGCAGCGCGGAGTCCCCGCGACGCGCGCAGGTCGCCCTGGAGGGGTCCCAGCGACGCGCGCGGGTCGTCCGCTGCGCGGAGCAAAGAGAGCTAGCTAGCTGGCTGGCGGATAGCGGGCAAGGCCCTTGCCGCTGGGCAGAGCGACGACGGGCGAGCGAGGCGCGGAACTCCGACGGCCTCCGACTGAGGGTGGTGGAGACGCATGCGGAACGCGCCACGGGGACCTTCGGTGGGGCTCCCTATGGGGCCACGACGCGCTGTGCTGGGCGGAGGGACCGCGTGCGGACTGCGCCACGGGGACCTTCGGTGTAGCCCCAATGGGGCCACGAAACGCTGTACTGGGTGGGGGAGACGCGTGCGGACTGCGCCGCGGGGCGCCGCGGGGACTTTCGGCGGAGCCCCTTATGGGGCCACGAAGTGCTGTACTGGGTGGGGGAGACGCATGCGGACTGCGCCGCGGGGACCTTCGGCGGGGCTCCCTATGGGGCCACGACGCGCTGTACTGGGTGAGGGAGACGCATGCGGGCTGCGCCACGGGGACCTCCGGCGGAGCCGCTATGGGGCCACGAAGCGCTGTACTGGGTGGGGGGGACGCATGCGGACTGCGCCACGGGGACCTTCGGTGGGGCTCCCTATGGGGCCACGAAGCGCTGTACTGGGTGGGGGAGATGCGGACTGCGCCACGGGGACCTTCGGTGTGGCCCCCCTATGGGGCCACGAAGCGCTGTGCTGGGTGGGGAGACGCATGTGGACTGCGCTTCGGGGACCTTCGGTGGACCACCCTATGGGGCCACGAAACGCTGTACTGGGTGAGGGAGACGCATGCGGATTGGGCCACGGGGACCTTCGGCGGAGCCCTTTTGGGGCCACGAAGCGCTGTACTGGGTGGGGGAGATGCATGTGGTACACACCATTGGGGCCTTAGGTGGACCTCCCTGTGGGGCCACGAAACGATGTATTGGGTGGGAGAGACGCATGTGATACATACCACTGGGGCCTTAGGTGGACTTCCTTATGGGGCCACGAAGCGCTGTGTTGGGTGGGGGAGACGCATGTGATACACACCACTAGGGCTTTAGGTGGACTTCCCTATGGGGCCACGAAGCGCTGTGTTGGGTGGGGGAGACGCATGTGATACACACGACTGGGGCTTTAGGTGGACTGCCTTATGATGCCACGGAGCGCTGTGCTGGGTGGGGGAGACGCATGTGATACACACCACTGGGGCCTTAGGTGGACTTCCCTATGGGGCCACGAAGCGCTGTACTGGATGGGGGAAACGCATGTGATATACGCCACTGGGGCCTTAGGTGGACCTCCCTATGGGGCCACGAAGCGTGAGAGGAGGAGAGGAGGGAGGAAGAGGAGGATGAGGAGGAGACGCGGGGACCGTCTCTTCAAAACGAAGACCCAACAACGCAGGCTGGTTGGGAAAAACCCAAGCGAGAACCCATTTCCCGGGAATCCGATGTGTAAAATGCCCATGCGCGGAGGGGGGTGGCCATTTCCCGGACGCCACCAGGGGAGAGAGGAGAGTAGTATTCATATTGTTGAATTTCGAGGGCTTTCTCGGAGGGCGGCGGGATTTCTCAGAAGCCCTCCAGCCTTCTGAGAAGTTTTTTTCGTCTTCGGGGAAGGTATGGAACATTTCCCTCAGGCCGGGCGACCTCCGAGCCTTCCGAAAAGGCCTTCTCCTTCTCGTTTCCCCCCCTCGCTCGCCGCCAGCTTGGCTTGCTTGGATTGGCCTCCCCCGCGGCCTAACGCCGCGCACCAAAGGTCTCACTCTTGCCCAGGGCCGCTCCGTGCGTGCAGCCGATTATCGCCGAGGGCACGCTCGACGACGAGCTGGCCCTCGTGGTCGCCATCCTCCACGAGCGCCGCCGCGGGGCGCGCTCCCGCTGGGCCGGCTACCTGGCCTGCCTGGAGCACGACGAGCCCCGCTCGCCGGCGGGCTGGACACGGCAGGAGCGCACTCCCCCTCTGGCTCAGGGGTTCCTCCCCAGAGGAGGAAATCATGAATTTGTGTCCCACCACCACCACCATAAGTTGGAGGGGGAGGGGGTCCTTCTCCTCCTTCTCCTCCTCCTCCTCCTCCTCCTCCCCCTTCTCCTTCTCCTCGTCCTCCTCCTCCTCCTCCGTCTCCTTCTCCTCCTCCTCCTCCTCCTCCTCCTCCTCCTCCTCCTCCTCCTCCTCCTCCCCCTCCTCCTCGTCCTCCTCGTCCTCCTCCCTCTCCTCCTCCTCGTCCTTCACCTCCTCCTCCTCCTCCTCCTCCTCCTCCTCCTCCTCCTCCTCCTCCTCGTCCTCCACCTCCTTTCCCCCTCCAACTGGTTTTGGTGGTGGTGGAAAACAGGTCCATCAGAGAAGGGCCAGGTAGGTTCGCGTCGTGTCGACTGGTGGGGACCCCGCCGCTGGCGTTCAAGGTTGAACGCCGCTGGCGATCCGGAGTTGGTCGATGTTGGGCGATCCGACGCCTTGGTAAACTAGCGATCATTCGAGGTTGAAAGCGCCCCGCGGTGTCATGGACCAACGCCCAGGTCGTCACGACACGAACCTGCCGTACCCATACCGCTACCCCTGCGCATCGTTTTCTGCTTTTGGTGCCTCCTGCGAGGCCCTCGTCGCCACCGCTGGCTTCGCCTTGAAGAAATTCTGGTCAGAACGCAGCTCGGGAGAGGGTCGGGGAGTAGCGGTATGGGTGCCTTTTGGATTCCCCGCTCGCCGGCGGGCTGGTCGCGGAAGGCATCCAGACCCTCCCGAGTCATCGAGAAATCACGACGGGATGCTTCTCGCTATTTTCGGCTCTGGGGGACCTCGCCGGGCCGCGGGGCCGTCAAAAGCTGCCCGGGATGACTGAGGAAGCAGTCCCGCGGAATCGGTCGAGACCTCTCTGGGGATAACGTCATGAAAATTCATGACGTCGGTGGGCTGGGCCTCTGGTCCGGGGCTCCTCCGTGCCCGCCCAGCAGGTGGCGCAGGGCGCATCCGTTCCTCCCCCACTCTGCCCCCCCCCCCCCCTCGTTTCGCCCCCCTCCGTGGTCCCCCCCCCCCTGGTTCCGCCCCTCTCTCCTGCTCTCCACCTTCCCCCCCCCTCCCCCCCCTCCTCCCCTTCCCTTCCCCTTCTGTCTCTCGCAGTTGTTCGATATGACTGCCACTGTCCCTTCTCCCCTGACCCTGTCAGGAAGGTATTCCGCCCTCTCTTTTGTTTTGATATATATGTATGTATATATATATATAACATTGTAGATGCAGGGCTTCATGTTGTTTCAAAGTGGTGCTCCCGTCGTTCATAATGGCGCTCTCGCCCCAGCGTTGGCCAGTCTTCTGGATTACGAGTCTTTCTTCATCGTTGTCGCACCCTCATTTCCTCTCCTCCGCCTTTCCTTGGTCCTGCTGCTCCTCCCGCTCCTTCATTCCAGCTCTTGCTGCTTCTGTTCGCATATAGATCGCCCAGGCAAGGCCTACCCTAGGCCCTAGGCCTACCCTAGGGCATACCTCAAGGCCTACCCTAGGCCTACCCTAGGTCCTACTACTAGGCCCTAGGCCTACCTAGGCATACCCTAGGGCCTACCCCTAGGCCTACCCTAGGCTTACCCTAGGTCCTCCCCCAAGGCCTAACCTAGGCCCACCTTAGGGCTTACCTCTAGGGCTACCCTAGGCCTACCCCTAGGACCTAACCCCCATGCCTGCCCTCTGCGTACCCTGGGGCTTACCCCCAGGCTTACCCTAGGCCTACCTCACGTCTACCCGGGGCCTACCCCTAGGCCGATCTCGAGGCCTATCCTCAGGCCTACCCTAGCCTTTGCCCCTATGGTATCTCTAGGGCTGCCCTAGGCCTTGCCCCTAGCCCGAGGGCTACCCTAGGGCCTACCCCTAGCCCGACCCTGGGTCTTTCCCCTTTGCCTACGTCGTGCCTATGCCCGACCCCGCTCTCCGACCCGACCCGTTCGTCAGGGTCTTCCTGATCCAGGGTTACCGTCCTCCGTTTCGCACCGATCCCCACCCGACCCGTCCGACCCGACCCGCCCGTCAGGGTCAGCCTGGCCCGACCCGACCCGACCCTCTCGACCCGACCCGCCCGTGAGGGCCCGCCCGACCCGACCCGATTCGCCCGACCCGACCCGCTCGTGAGGGCCCGCCCGACCTGACCCGACTCGACCCGACCCGCCCGACCCACCTTGCCCGTGAGGGCCCGCCTGGCGACCCGCCCGACCGGACACGACCCGACCCTGCCCGACCAGCCCGATCCGACGCGCCCGTCAGGGCGCGCCCGACCTGAACCCGACCTGACCAGCCTGATCCGACCCGCCCGTTTGGGCCCGACCCGACCCGACCCGCCCGCCAGGGCCCGCTCGGCCGGACCCGACCCGACCTCACCGACCCGGCCCGACCTGCCCGACCCGACCCGCCCGTCAGGGCCCGCCCGCTGTGACCTGGCCCGACCCCCTCTGGGACCCTCCCCCCAGCGGGGGAGGGATCAAAGGGCATGGGCTCCCCTTCGATTTCCTGTTGCTGGAACGCTTGAGGGGGAGGTTCGATGACGATGAGGACGACTCAAACGGACAAGCCTCTCGCACACGCCGATAGGGTTGGCGGATAAGGAGCAGCGATGGTCGGGCCGGACTAAAGGGGGGGATTAGGAAGGGGGGGGGTTACGAAATCTGCTGCATGCCGCTGGTTTCGGCCCCTCCGAGGGGCCCATTCCTCGATACATGCGCGCCTCCCGACGCTGGGAGGCGCCGAGAAAATCAGCTATACGTGAGCTGATTCTCCCCCCCCCTTTGCTATCCCCCCTTTCGCCCGGCCCGAGATGGAGGAGGAGGGCGGGATGCGGAGCAGGAGGAGGAGGAGATGTGAGGAGCACGCCCGCCGCTGCAGGAGCAGGAGCTGCTCGCCGGCACCGAGTGCGACCGCTGCGACGCCGCGGGCTGGCGCGAGGGCGCCCCGCGGAGGCGCTCGGAGCAGAGCCGGGAGCTCCTGAGGCCCAGGGGAAGGGGGCCGCCCTTCTCGACTACACGTAATTAAGATTGACCCTTCGCAGGACTGACCTCTGGTGCGGGCTCATCGGGTTCCCCCCGATCGCCGAGCGCGATGCGATACAAGTCGCGCCCTCAAGAGCTGCGCACCAAAGGTCACTCTTACCCAGGGTCACTCTTACGTCTAGCCGCCCTTCACAGGGGGCAGAGGTGGATAGACCTCCTACCCTGACACGTGGATTAAGGAATTGGCCGTTTTCGGTTCTCGAGAGGGCGTCGCGGCCGTCGTTTTTGCGGGTCCAGGTCGGGCGGATTCGGGGAGGTTTACGAAAGGGAGGTTTGTCCACCGCCGAAGGGGGCGGTCTCCCCTCGAGGAAGAAATGCAGGGGCAACGGTGGGAGGGGGGGATAGGCTCAGGGGGGAATGCCTCGACGCCCAAAAGCCCATGGATCGCCGAGAAGGGTTCCGAGAGCCCTAATTACCCGCCCAGGAGCGCGTGGATTCGCCATCGGGGACCTATGGCCGATCCATCGGCGATGTACCGCCGGTTCTAGGTCGATGCTCCCCCCCTTGGCCAGTCCGCCCCCGTCGCCAACCCTCAGAACAAAAATCTCCTGTCAGGAGCCTTGGCCCAGCGTGTCGCTTCGCCGGTTCTGGCCCACCACGCTTCGGCCCGACACGCTGTCCACGTCCCCACCTCGAGCGTCGGCCTCCCGGGCGTTTCCTGGCCTCCTGGCCCGCGGAGCGGAGCGGCACGCTATCGCCGGCCACTTGAAAGGCACAGCGTGACGCCAGGACTGCGGCCGCGACACGCTGGTGAAGCACAAGTTCTTGACCGCAGATGGAGTCCGAGTTCCCATCGGTCGTTGGGAGTAGGCATTTTTGGATTCCCATATTCCAGTTTGCTCTAAGCGCCTCCCTACTTCAATGGTCGAATGGCTTCACCTTTTCCGTCCGTCCTCCCAGGGGGGCGGACGGAACCCAATCTACTTTCAACGCCTTCCTACTTTATGTTTCTACCTACTTCTTCCGACCGATGGGTAGATGGGGTCGGAGGATCGCGCCGCAGCGTAGAAGTATCGGCGATGTGGCTCGATGTGAAACCCGGTTTTCCCCACGCTGACTTCGTCGATGCATCGCCGACGTCGCCGACGTACTGGCGATGCATCGGTGTTGAGGCGTTATCCTCCGACTCCATCCACTCGGACCCCACCTGGGAGGCCCATCACACAAAGCTGCATAAACATGCACTTTCGTCCTGGATAGCCGTCGTCGCTACGTATGGACTCTCCTCGAAATTGTAGTCAGACGGCTCCCCGGCAGAGGTCCGTGAGGATCGCAGGCGACTGTTCTCGAAGAAAACGGCATAAACATAAACTTTGGGAGTTCCGCACGGGTTCCTTGGGTCGGCGCTGGGCATCCCTGGCTGCGTCTCCCCGCCGCCCCTGGCGTGCTCCGCCCGCCAGGGAGTGACCCTGAAGCTTCAAGCTTCCTGCAGCCACAGATCGTGGGCGGTCAGCTCTGAAGGTATGGCTCTCGCTGCATTGCCACTCACGTTTGCCAGAAAAGAGACAGACAGGTGCACGGATGGAGGTGAGGCCGTTTTTTCTTTTGAATTCGGTTCTCGCCGCAGCGTCGCGCACACGCGCCTTCCTAGTTTCCAGCAGTGCACGGACGGAGGGTGATTTTCTTCAAGGCAAACGATCGCCTGAGGCACCTTTAGCGTTTGTGTTATTTCGTCAAAGCATGTTCACGTAAGTTGATACGTACTGTGCGTTTTCAATTGATCGCCGTCGTGTGTTACGTTTTTTTACTAGTGGTCGGGTGGACCATGTGGAATGCACACAATGTCGTTGTCCTTCTCCCCTGCACCACGTCTGTCCTCCTCCTTCGTCTCCTCTCGCGGGTTTCGCTTTCGAGCCAGAGTGGGATGACTAGGGGGCGCAGCCTAACACCAGTCCTGGCGCCTTTTTCCATGACTTGCATGCTTACTTGCGTTGCCTCGTGGTCGAGCACATACAAGCATGTACATCGACAAGACTGCATTGGCGCTTCGCGCCGTGAGCCTTCTTCATTACACTGTCGCAATAATATGGAACATATGTCCAAGCGGGCAGAGGACCGCGTCCACAGGGTAGCACTTGCGTTTCGCTTCTGGCTCCTTCTCTTTTTTCTTATTCTTCTTATTTTTCTTTCTCGTCTTCTTATTCATTTTCTTCTTGTTTTTTTTCTTATTCTTCTCTGTTATCTTCCCTTTCTCTTCTGTCAACATTTCTCGTCACCATTTTGGCTCAAGGCCATTTTGCTCAAGGAAGAGCTCAAGGGCTCAAGGGCTCAAGGTGCCGGGGTCGAGGGCTTTGTCTTGCTACTCTCCCATCCCATTTGAGGGACCGCAGTTCCACTTCGCAGAATGTACCCCTGTTTACTGGCTTCGTCTCTGCTCAGTGTTTTCGGCTGCATCCCGAGGTATTGGAGTCAATGCAGGCACGTGAGTTATCATGGAGAATGTTGCTACGACTTTTGTCTCATGGAACACAGGAAAGACCGCTCACTCGCGCCCCGAGCGTGCTCAACAGTTTATTCCGACGCTATGGAAATAACGTGTTTGCTGCATTGCAGGAGGTGCCGAGGTGGGGACTGCAGATGTCTCATGGCTTAGCAGTGCGCTCAGCAGATGGAGCTGATTGTGCTGTAGTTCTTCCTCGCAGCCGGGTCAGCGACATTGTTTGGGAGCAGCATCGGACGTATTGGGTTGTTGTGGTGGTGGGTTGTGATATCATTGCATCTGCGCATTTGCTTGATTATTCTCAGGGCGGATTCGTCGAAAGTGCCACGCTTAGCGAGCTGTCAATAGCATTAGGTATCGCACGAAACAAGGTGTTGGAAAGATCTGGAATACCACAGCCTATGATCGGTTTGGATGCTAATGCTACTTTTCATCAGGCTGATGGGGTTTACGTTGGAGGGGGTCTTGCCAAGACTTTGTCGGGACACACTTTTGGGAAGCACGCCTGTCTTCTGATTTTCTTGAAGATTCATGGGGTTCGAGCCGTGAATACTTTTGCAGATACGGGAGGGGCCAGTTTGCTCACCAGGGTCCGTCGTAAACGCACTGCTCGACAGAAGTCACAGATCGATTTTGTATTATTGTCTCTTCCTCTACCTGGCGATGGCGTCGTGGATCAGCTCGTGGATGGCATCAGTAATACTGAGCTCAAGCATTCTGATCATCTTCCCGTCGTCGTCCACACGTCCGTTTCACGATCGCGTCAGGAGATACAGTCTGTTTCACGCGTCAACGACTTGGTGCGCAAGCAAAGATCTATAGATTTTACGAGGTTCCCCATCAGAGCAAGTTATTGGCACAATCTTTCATTGCAGAGATCTCGTTGTGATTCTTTGGAGGCCTGCGTATCAGCCGTTCGTTCTGTTGCCGAGTCCTTTGATCACTTGACACACGTGGAAGATTCTGACGAGGTCCTGATTGAAACGGTGATGCAGAGGCGGAAGGCCAGGAAAAGGCAGAAAGTCAGTCACCCGCAGACTGGCGCAACGGCGAATGACAAGAAAGGAAAGTCGAATATCAATAATAATGTTCTTCTCACCCTGGCTAAGCGTAACAATATCCAGGACGCACCTCCACCCCTTAGTCTCCGACTGAGCGGCCAGGAAACAGCAGATCGGTCGACGTGGAAGGAAGGCCTTACCAGGGCGGCGGAGCAGAAGTTCAAGGACTCGCCCGAATCTGTTGCAGCTTTCTGGTCTCTCGTCCAAGATGTTCGCAAAGGGGCCAAGCACGAGTTATTGACCGGACAGGCGAGTGGTCAACCTAGTTATGATGATTTTGCGGAGCAGCTGACCAAATTAGCACATGAGACCGCGCCAGGGCCGGATGAAATTCTAGGTAAAATGTGGATCCACACGCCTCATTGGATGAAAAGTTACATGTTTGACGAGTTTCTGCGGCTTTGGCGAGATTGCGATTGGGAGGTTTCCAGCGTACCAACGTGGAAGCAGTTTACTCTCCGTGGCATTGGGAAATCAAAATCACCAAAAGATTTCAAAGATTTTCGGTGGTTGGGCTTGATGGACCATCTTTGCAAACTGTGGACGGCAACCACCTACGCGACCATGACCACAAGCATGGGCAGACCTGGGAACATCAACAGCTACGGGTATAAGCGACAGACTTCAGTGGATGACGCATTTGCGGTGTTGTTTGAAACCCTTGTCTACGCTCAGCGTTGGCAAGACGTCTCGCTGGTGTTGGGCGCCCAGGACATCGAGACTGCCTTTGATGGTGTTCGATATGTTGACATTTTGGCCAAGTTTGCAGATTTTGGGGCGACGTGCAACCAGCGTCTGGTCCTTGCCGGAGATATTTCTAATAATATGGTGCAGGTTTCTGTCCCAGACGTTGCGACCACGGATCCTTTCTGCATGTCAAAAGCGTTAAGAACACATGGGAAAGTGGAGCCGGATATATTCATCCGCATGTTTGAGGACATCATCTCGGAGTTGGAGGGTCGTTGGGCGGATATGGGTGTAGGATTCGAGCTTAAGAACACGGGGTTTCGAGTGACAACGCTGCTTTGGGTTGACAATTTGTTATTATCTGCGCCGGATTTGCAACAGTTCGGTTTCATGGTTCACAGCCTTTCGGTTCTCCTTTTTGAGCGATGCGGATGGATATGGAAAGCCAAGTGCTTAGAAATCTTACTCGAGAAGGTCACCTGGCCGTTCAAGACATTCACAGTCCAGACTTCGAGCGTCGAGCTTGTATATTCCATTGTCGAGCAGATGGAAGCACTTGGAGGCGTTTTGAATTGTGCTGACCCAAATGGCGCGCACATCCAGCACATATTGTCCAAAGGGGATGCCTGCTTCTATCGGTGTGCACGTCAGCTTCGTAGCAAGCAGCCCGTCGAACTCAAGCTGAGGGCCTTTGTTGCGGCGCCGCGGGCAGCTGGCACTTTTCTTTTGTCTATTGCACACTGGAACAAGAC